CTTCCTTTCTACTTGACCTGCCACACCCGCCCACCATAACACAGCTGCCGACCCAGGGGGCGCTGGGACCCTCCTGATACTCGATGCATGCTCTGGGGCCGGCCATACCCCTCCTCTCACCCCTCCTCCCGGTTCTCCCAGGTACCTACCTTTGCCCGTCGCTCCAATGTGCTGACCGGACTCCAGGACTCCTCTGCTGACAACCGCACCAAACTGGAGCTGGGCGCTCAGGGCAAGGGCCAGGGGCACCAGTACGAGCTCAACAGCAAGAAGCACCACCAGTACCAGCCGCACAGCAAGGAGCGGGCGGGCAAGCCCCCACCGCCGGGCAAGAGCGGCAAGTACTACTACCAGCTCAACAGCAAGAAGCACCACCCCTACCAGCCCGATCCCAAGATGTACGACCTGCAGTACCAGGGCGGCCACAAGGAGGCGCCCAGCCCCACCTGCCCGGACCTGGGCGCCAAGAGCCACCAGCCCGACAAGTGGGCCCACGGAGCGGGGGCCAAGGGCTACCTGGGAGCTGTGAAGCCCCTGGCCGGTGCGGCTGGGGCTCCAGGCAAGGGCTCTGAGAAGGGCCCCCCCAATGGGATGACGCCGGCCCCCAAGGAGGCGGTGACGGGCAACGGGATTGGGGGCAAGATGAAGATCGTCAAAAACAAGAACAAGAACGGACGCATCGTGATCGTGATGAGCAAGTACATGGAGAATGGCATGCAGGCGGTGAAGATCAAGTCCGGTGAGGCGGCCGAGGGTGAGGCGCGCTCCCCCAGCCACAAGAAGCGGGTCGCCGAGGAGCGCCACCCGCCAGCCGACAGGACTTTCAAAAAGGCAGCGGGGGCAGAGGAGAAGAAGGTGGAGGCGCCCTCCAAGAGGAGGGAGGAGGAGGCTCCGGGGGCCGTGGACCCGCAGCCCCAGGACGCCGGCTCCCACAAGCCTTCCCCGACCAAGGAAGCCTTCGGCGAGCAGCCCCTGCAGCTCACCACCAAGCCCGACCTGCTGGCCTGGGACCCAGCCCGGAGCACGCACCCGCCCTCCCACCACCACCACCACCACCACCATCACCACCACCACACCGTCGGCCTAAATCTCTCCCATGCCCGCAAGCGCTGCCTCTCGGAGACCCACGGTGAGCGTGAGCCCTGCAAGAAGCGCCTGACGGCGCGCAGCATCAGCACCCCCACCTGCCTGGGGGGCAGCCCGGCCGCCGAGCGCCCCGCCGACGTGCCCCCCCCCACCGCCCTCCCTCAGCCCGAGGTCATCCTGCTGGACTCTGATCTGGACGAGCCCATAGACTTGCGCTGTGTCAAGACTCGCGGCGAGGCCGGGGAGCCGCCCAGCGCTCTCCAAGTGAAGCCTGAGGCGCCTGCGGCGGCGGCGGCGGCGGCCGTGGTGGCAGCTGCGCCGGTGACAGCGGCTGAGAAGCCTCCGGCTGAGGCCCAGGACGAGCCCGAGGAGCCGCTGAACGAGTTCAAGCCCTTCTTTGGGAATATAATTATCACCGACGTCACCGCGAACTGTCTCACCGTCACTTTCAAGGAGTATGTGACGGTGTAGCCGGAGGGTGAAGGGGAAGCGCCATCCCAGCGGGGGGCTTAGCACCGGGGGCCAGCGGGCGGAGTCCTCCTCTGGCCGACTGCGGGAGATCCGGGCCGGCCCCCAGGGCGAGGATGCCCGAAGCCGCAGTGCTTTGGGCTGTGGGATCCTGGCTGCGGTGCCTGGCCCGCCCCCGCCCCGCACTGGCTCCTCGCACACGTGCCTGCGGGTCTCGCCCCCGACCTGCCCCATCCCCGCGCAGGACGAGAGCTGTGTCCCTCCCCTCCCTCGTGGACCTCCGGGACTGACAGGGCAGCCACGCGCGGCGGTCTCAGAGTTATAGTATTATATTTTAACCGTGCTAACTTGTCAAGTGCAGACTTTACTCCCGTTTGTACGTGGTGTTATTATTGAAATGTATTGTTTGAGCTCAGAAGGCCCGACCACCCCCCTTCGGGCTGATATATATATATTTATTTGTAGGTATTTATATATTGAAATATAAAAACCTAGATTTATGGAGTTTCCTCTAGATCATGTTATATTCTATATCAGACAAACTATTTTCTGTTTACCTTTTCTCCCGTTCATTCAGTATTTCGGTTGATTTCATTTCCTCCCCTTCCAGGAACTGCAATACCGGTAACCTTGGTATATATTTTTTGATACTGTACACATGGATGTGTTGTTTCTATGTGCAAAAAAAAAAAAAAGTTTGTTAAAAAGCTAAACGAGCTCTCTAGAAACTGCTGCTACTAGAAATGTCTAAACTATAAGCTTCCAATTATTACCTGCTTGAATGTAAATATTAAATGGAGATGTTGAAAGTGCATTTTCGCTGTTGAGATTAGCGCAGAGGGAACGTCGGACGCTCGGCTCCGGAGGCGCTGGACCCCTCTCCCCACCCCACTTCCGCCTTAGGCCTCGGGGAGGAAACCTACCGAGTCCTGCGCTAAACCTTTGCAGAAGCAGAGTAGACCTGTTTCGTGGGCAGAGGCGCCCGCGCCGGCGGAGTGACCCCGCTCCCCGGAAGTTGAGAGGCGCTCCAAAGGAGAGGGGAATTCCTGCGGGGGGGCCGTCGGCGTCGCCCTCCCTCCCCCCGGGCTCTCAGGCCCGCGGTGCCCATGGCGGGGGCAAACCAGGGGATCTGCGTGGTGGGGGAGGGGTGCACGGGTGAGCTGGCGGCGCGGAGACGTGGGTGGGGCTAGCCCCCGCGCCGCGCCCGCCCGGCACCTGCTGATCTTTGACCCCCACCCCCCATGACGCCGCACACCCAGACGCCGGCCCTGGTGGGGCAGGGATGTTCCTTTCTAGTAATCTCTGCCCCCGCCCGGTAGGGCAGGTTCGACGGGGAGAGGACCCTCCCACCCGCTCCAGCGTCCCTTGCTGGCATCGCGGGCCCCGCCCCACCGAGGAAGCTGCCGAGGCTCTTTCTCTGCCAGGCACTCTCCCCGGAAACCACCAGGCCAGAGGCTCCGACTGGAGGCGCAGCGAGCGTGGCCGGGGCAGGGGGGCTTCCTGCGAGGTGGATGGGGAGTGAGAGGGGGAGGAGGCCTGGCGAGTAAGGCCTGCCCACCCCCACTTCCTTCGTGAGCAGGGAGACCTGGGACCCCATTTCACCGATCCTGCTTTGGGTGGCAAGGCTGGGGCCCTTGGTGTCTCGGGGGCAGGAGGAAGGGGTTAAGGGCCCAGAGGGGGCGAGGGGAGTGGGCCGAACTCCGGGGTGCGCCTCCCCCGGCCAGGAAGCCGCGGGCCAGGAATGCAGTGGCGCGGGCAGCATTCTGCAGACACAGCGATCTTCCTCCTGGCTGGGGCGGCCGAGCCGGGCCAGGGGCCGCGGGACTGAGGGCCTGGTGGGCGCGGGGCTGCTTCGGGCCTCCCAAGTCCCTTGCCTGCCCGCCTGGGACTGAGGGGCCCGAGCCCGTGCAGGGCTTCAGGGCGGAAGAGGTCAGCGTGGTTCAGAATGGGGGGGGGAGGTGGCGAGAGAGCGTAGTGTTGGGAAGGCCAGGGGAAGAGATAGAGGGCCAGGAGGGCGGGGAGGCCTGAATGCGGACAGTGTGGCCAGTGTTGGCTGCAGGCCACCAGCGGCTGGAGGTGGGGGAGGGGAGCCCAGCGGGGGTCTAAAAAAAACCGTTGGGAGTTTCTAGCCCTGGCTTTTGTGAATTGTCCCTCCCACTGCCCCCATCGCCCCAGCCCCCTTTAGAGTTGAGTTAAACACTCCCCCCTCCCCCTCCATGTAATGAATGCCCTTTGCCACCCTGGGAGTGGAGGGAGGGGTGATCTTGACTGCTCCTGGCAAACTGCCTGCTCAGTGCTAGAATTGGGCCTGTCCTTCACTGGCTGGTACACAAAGGCGCATGCCAGGCGGGATTTCATCTCCCTGCTTTTCTGGTAGAGGAGAGCTAAAAAATTGGGAGTGGGAAGGGGAGCCCCTTGTTCAGGTCTGCACAGTTGGTGACTTGGGAGTGAGCCTTAGCCCCTGGGGGTGCCCCTCCTGCCCAGTGGGTGGCCTCTGCCAGGCTGAGTTTGGGGCACTGGGCAGGGGAGGTAGAGGATGGCACTTGCAGGAGCAGGGAAGGACAAAGGTCCACTCCCATTCCCAAAAGGGTGTGGCCTGCAGGTGGCCTGAGGCCTTGAAAACTGGGCCTGGTGATGGGGGACCTTCTGGAGTGGGTCTTCAAGGAGGGTGGTTCTAGGAAGAGCCTGGAACCTGAGGTCAGAAGTTGGACAATGGGACCGAGACAAACGGGTAGATCAGGAGGACCTGCATAATGCCCAGTCTGGTGCCCGATTCACCGGTGTCCGAGACCCCCTCTGGCCCACAGGGACAGACTCTGTCGTTGCTGAGCTCCTTGGACATGCCAGGCACCACTGGAGCATCTTGTTCCATTCAGACCCCACAGGGATTGAGGTTCCCTGGGGGTGAGGGCCTGGGGTTCTGATGGCAGAACAGCTTGTCCAGGGTGCATGGCCACTGCCCCATTCTGTGCTGATTCTAGAACCAAGCTGTCTGCTCCACCATCCTGTAGAGAGGTATCCCGTGGCTACTGGCCCCCTGGGCCTCTTGGACACAGGCCTGAAAAGATGTGTCCAAGGCTCAGGAGCACTCAAAGGGGGTCATGGCCCTGGCATTGGGACAGGGGAGGAGAGTTCAGTAGCTCCAGTGCTCCCTGGTTCAACTGCTTTTTCCTAACATGGGGCCTCAATGTCTATTGGTGCCCAGCATTTCACAAGTGAAGGGTCATAAACCCTCTTTCTGAGCCCAAGTTCAGGGGAGAGAAGGGAAGCAGGAAGCTGGGATCTTAACCCTGCACACTAGGAGACCCAAACTTCTTTGTGTTTTCTCCAAATGAATCTTTCTATGGGACTGAGCCTTGACCATAGAGGCTGTGACCCACTGCAAAGAGAGGGCACTTGTGCATCCATCCACCCTCAGAAGCTGGTCCCTCCTGCACCAGCTGGTCCCAGTCTCTAGCACTGGTCTCCCAGAGCCTGCACCCCCTCCCCAACCCATTTTCACAAGAGCCAAGTTCAGCCTTTCAGTGTTTGTGCTCCATCCTTGGATCCCACTGCGGTGCTTTGGAGCTCAGGTTGCCAGATTGAGCACATAAAAATCTAGGATGCCTCGTTAAATGTGAATTTCAGATGGATAATGCATAATTTTTTAGTATAAGTATGTCCCATGAAATACTGGAGCTATACTAATAATGAAAAAAAAGAAAATGTGTTATTTATGTGAATTTGGATGTAACTGAGCATCCTGGACTTTGTCTGGAAACCCTATTTGGGTCCTGAATAGTCAACATGGTCCGTCCTTGCCCACAAGGAAGTTTCAGTCCATTAGGAGAGAGACATGCAGAGAGCTGAACAACAGGGGTCCTGTCAGTGCGGTTATCATGACATCGAGCATGCTGGCGTGGCACAGAATGGTTGCTGGATGACAGTGGGGCCCTCACCTGTGATTTAAGGTGGGGGTGGAGTGTGCATGTGACAGGCCCTGGACAAAGGAGTGAGGGAAGACCAGAATCCATCCCTCTGCCTTTTGGCCCACCTTAGGCTCCTGAATTGAGGCTCCTCCCCACACCCACCCACCCAGAACAGCAAACTTCTAGAACATACAGGGAAGGCAGAACAGATCTGGTTGCAGTACCCACTCACCTCACCAAAAACCTTTCCCTTCCCAGACTTCAGTTTCCTCATCACCTTCAAAGACGTGCTCTGACGTGAGGACACACTGGATCAGGAGGGAGCCGTGAGCACTTCTGGAAACCCCCTAAGTAAACACTCAGGTTATTTTTTTACCAGGGAACATTAAACACCTGTGTCAGATCCAAACGCCTTCTAACGACTTCTGGCCCGGAGCCTCAGCTTGACCGAGGGACAGATACCCAGTGATGTTTGCCTCTGTACCGGCTGCCAGCCCTCCCTCCGTTCCCGCTCCCTGTAACCCAGTGGGCACCACCAGCCCTCTGCATTCTGCCCTCACTACCCGCTTGGTGCATTACCCGTTGACCTGGGACCTCATCCTCAGCCCCTCCAGTTTTATCCTGGGTCACTGAGATGACATTGGGACAGGAGAGAGGTAAGATGAGCCGCCCACCATGAGCCGAGCCTGCACTTGTATGGAACCGAATCCTCATGTTTTTTGAAATGAGTTTCCTCTATGGTACCGTGTGATGTTTGCTGCTCATCTGAGAAGGTGAAGCCTCTGAAGAGGAAATCGTACTGAAGGCGGTTATTCTTGGATACAAGTGTCCGTTTCCTGTGGCCGCAGTTCAGAAATCCACGCCCCATGCCCTCTCGCCCCTCCTCTCTTCCCTTTGCAATTAATGATAGCAGCTAACATTGATAGAGTGTTCATTCTGTGCCGGGCACTGCAGGGGGATCGGCTCATTTAATTCTCACAAATCTCCATGAGGTGGGTCCCATCGTTGTCCCTGTCTTACAGATGGTAAAGTGAAGGCTAGGAGGCTTGAGTGATCTGTCCAAAGTCAAACATCCAGTCAATAGGGAAACAGACAGGGGTTCAGAGCTAGCCTTGGCCGTGCTTCCAGCTCACAGGCTTCTTTGTGTCCTTCAGAGGCCAGCTCAGGCCCCATCCTCTCCCTGAGGTTGTTCTAGATTATTCCAGCCTTTACCAGGACCAGCTGTGCTGAAACCCTGCAGTATTTACTGCCTCCCCTGACTCATTGTCAATCAATTGCACACTGCAACATACATGTATGCATGGGTCTCCATTCACCAACTAGACAGAGCTTGAGCGCCTGGAAGGTGAGGGGCATGTCTTGGGTATTTTCTGCACTCCCACAGCTTGAGCACAGTTCTTAGATAAATACCTTGGAATCAGATGCCTTGTGTGTGTTTGTGTACAGAGGTGTGTGTGTGTGAGAGAGAGAGAGAGAGAGAGAAAGGGGAGAGAGAGAGAGAGAGAGAGAGAGAGAAGGGGGCTTTTGGACAGTGAAGCTGAGTCCTGCAGTGCAAGCCATTAACGGTGTCCACAGACCAAAGAAGGGCGCTGAACTGCCCCCAGGGGTCTCTGGTTCAGAAGCCAGGGACTCAGGCTGTTCCCTTTCCCCGGTACAGCAAGGGCAGACAGGCACACACTCAGCTGCTCTGGGGTCCTGCTACCCCCTCGCCTCTCACCTGATGCATTTGTGAGAGTTTCAGGAGACTCCAAGTAATTGTGTGGTAATTGAATTTAGGGAATCAGACCCTAAGGATAATCCTGGAGTCAGTTCCAGGAAGACTCATGGTTTAATTTTCGTATTTAGCTAGTGGTACACAGTATACGGTTTCTGACAGCACAGCAGGAACTAACGTATTTAGTTTTAA